CGATTGGTAGACTCTGAGTGGGTCATTCTCCGTCCATACTAGCTCACATTGCTCAAAGGTTATCCTTCGGGGGAAGCGAAAATTACATCATGAGTTATGGCTTCTTTTAGCGGTCATTTCGAAAGTTCCTGTCCTCCGAAATTAGCCAATCGGAAAGAGAGGCCCTCTGGTGCAATCCCACCCAGGAAAGCCCAGAAGGAAAGCATAGTGGTTTCGGTGTTTGACGGGTATGCTCATTCGACTATGCGGGTTGAACAGAAACTGTCTGCAACATTACAAAAGGTGACTGTTCTGTTTACCTTATTTTATAGTTCCTTCAAAATTCGACTTGTTCAAGTAATCAAATTTGAAGTTTGTCCTGCAATTATTTCCTTTGATTATTTATTTCCATTTTAGTACTCTACATATAACATCAACTTAGGCCGTTAGCTTAAGATACTGATAATAATAATAAATGTGTCACAAAGATATTCATCGTCAAATTCTGATATCGTTGTAGTTGGTGTCAGATTCTTCCCTACAGGAATAGTTTCACAAAGTGTCGCTGTCTGATTTCCGTTGTAAAACGAAGGACTAGTACTCTGTCAGCTGTTGTCGTGCTTCGCTTATTTGCCACAACTTTCCTGTGTGAAAATGCATTTTCGCATTATACATCCACAAAAACGAAGTACCGCAATATGCTTGAAACTCAACAAGATATGAGGTTACAGTGTACCACAATAGCGTCAAAGTCAGCCCTGCATATCAGAAACAAATTCCTCCGTCAAATTAATCATTGATGTACTTTGTTTTATATGCCTACATTCAACATCTTTCATTGCTTTTCTAACTTACATAAACACCCGTGCTAGTTCAGTGTACAGTAATGAACCTTTTTAGGACACCGCCTCATTTTCAGTTTATTGACTCCTAGTCCTGTGGTTAACAATATCTCAGGGGATCCGCCTTGCGCGATTCCACCGACGGGGAGTCCATGGTCCAAAAAGTGTGAGAACCGCTGGGTTCGAGACTCTATCAAACATGGCACAGTCGGTGGCGTTCCTGCGTTTTTGTGCCTAGTTGTTAATTCTCTTTTCGTTCTGAATAGTGTTGCGTATTTCATTCTTGCTTCCATTTTCTTTGTATTCTGCTTCTTTTTTCGATGTCTGCTCATGAGATATTTTCTCATTATTCCATTTGCGTTCGACCTCATTTGCTTACCATTGTTATTTATTGTTATTCTGACGATGTGAGTCATCGCAACTGGATCCACCGTACTTCGGTGCTCGGATCATAGTTGTGAACAAACAACGCAGTGGCCACTATCTGAAATTAGCAACTCAACACTTCTGTTTGGATTTTAGAAAGCTATATACCGTCATAGAATCTGTCCACGCAGGAATGTATTACCTGCATATGTGGTGAAGGCACCAAACCTCTCGACTGTCGAAAATCTATTAGACTATTTTCTAAGTGGTAAACCTTACACGAAGGTGTGATGAAGTGCCATACCCAGACAACTGATATTTCACGTTCCACGCCGGAATATTGTTGTCTTCACTTTTCGCATTTGCCACCTTATGCGTCATGTAAAGCTATTGCTTTTTATCTCATCACAAACTATCAAGCTATTTAGATGATGTCTGAAGTCCTTGACAATGTGACATTGTTAGTTTTACTGTAGATGGTAGGGCAAATGTTTGGCATACAATGGTCCGAGTTGCTTAGTGGTGAACGCTTTTGAATGGAAAACAAACGATAACAACGGATCGAAAGCCACTGAGAAATTTAGGCTTGCATTCAAGTCACTGGCACCTAATAGGTGGTAGAGTGAGTGAATAATTGTTTGACTAAGTTGCACCAGAGTTGGTTAACGTACGTGATGACGCTGTCATCATGATTCTTTGGCTTACTTGGGCGATCGGATCTAATCGCCCAGTATCCACTGATGCCGATGACTCCATCTTCAATATCAGGGTACAACCAGCTTTCTTGTAACCTAATAAAATCTGTGTTTATGTATTCCTTTCGTTGTATAAGAGATGTGAGGTCAGTGGTTTTTCCTAGCAATGAACGTAAATTGCTGGTGAAGATGAGTGGTAATTGCATTTTCTGCAAAGGACATCGTCGGAGACCAACCCTTCCAAACAGCGCCATGTCTTTTCGTGTGGCCATTATGTTTCCTCACAATCCGTTTAAAAGTGCTCTTGGCTTTATGGCCCTAGTAGACAAAAATCCTTTCGCGTGCCGCACTTCGAAATCGGCGGGGTAGGATAACAGTAACTAGGATATGGTTCAGTTAAACAAAACCGATAAAGTAAAACAACGAAAGATAGTTCCGCAGTAGATTGTGTAAAATAAACGATGTTCCAAGCGGCAACACACAGTGATCAATTTGAAGGCGCCACTCATATGAATTGATTGACCAGCAATCTGCTACGGTACATAAAAAGTGCCCCTACTGTGGCCCCGTAATTCACAGCTCCACGTGATTAAGTGCGCTACTTTCGTTCTTTATGATATACAAACATCAATCTGTTCAAATTATCTATCTTCAAATCCTCGTATTTGTCGCTAATGTTTACATTACATGATATTAGTGTGTCAAACTGGCTTGAAACATTAGGTCTCTAAGATCACCTAAATGAATGGGTCGTATTGTTTGAAATCAATATGAAAAACTTTTCTATGCAAACTGTTTGAACACTTCGAGAGGTCCGGGTAGCTTATGAAATCATTGTGCCTGGAGAGAGGAGTTCGCTCGCTAGTTACTTTCGTGACTCCAGAAATTTGCCGCTATGGCATCTAGCAAACTGCTAGTTTTGTGGATGACAGGGCTCTACCATGAAATTGGCCAGTGTTTTCTGCAATCCCTTATGTTTGTATGATATACATATCTGCATCCACAAACAGTTAACCGTTTGTAATAGAATCGGCAGTGTGCCACAACCTATGGCCAAAGACAGCAACTTGAAAACTTTCTGATAGTCTAACTTGATCGCTCTTGGAGAGATTATTCTGAAGCATTGGTGTGAATGGATTGCGACACGATTCGCATTGAAGTGAATCTTAGTCAACTCGATCATTGAGACCGTAAACGAAACGGACACCCAATATCCATCTGCTTAATTTGGAGTGATATTCGGTGGCCGAACCGAACGAACACCTGCGCACTTCGGAACAGTGTGGACGGGCCTGTGATTGGCCGCGCGAGCAACTGGTGATATCCGGTGCACATCAACATCGAGGATAGGCCTATCCTCGTGGCAGAATTCGTTCAATGCAGTAACAATTGTGAAGTTGCCCACTTTTGTCAGGTATACCTTGTTTGCACATTTTCTGTTTACTTGGTGGTGACGAGAATAGCGCTAACATGGAAATAACCCGTCCTTTTAAGACGGAGTCAACTCGTCCCTTTCCACGTTACAGTTAGCCCCACAGAGTATCGTGATTTGGCCAATGTTGAGGAGTCTGTTATTAATTTGGCCCCACCATAGCGCCGCTTTGCACTTCACAACCATCACCATTTGCTTGTTCGCGCAAGTGACCAACTGTGGCTAGTCACATGTGACTTGTTGCATGGATACCTGACATTATCTGGTCCACATTGACGATTTGAGCGGACCTATTATTAACCATGAGTAACGGTCAAATATGCTACACCGTGGCCAATCCGCCGGGCAGGACGGTCGAAGCCAGGGTTCAGGCAATTCAAGGACCGGGATGCTATATAAAGTAGTATACTCGGCTTATGAATGCGGCTGATATACTGCCCCGAATATCCACAGTAAACCGAGTCTTGAACTTTAATTTTTTTCTCTTTTTGATTGGAAAAATAGGCAGTGAGCGCTGAAGTCAACAGTGCAGCACCAGCAGCTAGTTTTTTGCATTGCACTAGTTCACTTGAGTTTCAAGTGTCCCACCTCCTCTGATTCTTCATAGGTGTTGTTGATGCTCTATATAACCATCCGGCGGTCGTAAACTTGGTTCATTATTGCTCTAGGTGAGCTGTGTGACACTTGTGTTTGATTTTCCTGCTCCCATTTAGCTGCCTAGAGGTTGTCGATGGGCATTCATCCCTATAAATTCCTCGGCTGTACTGCCGAGATGGTTAATCTCGCAATCCTCTCGTTGCCTTTTTTTACACTGCTCGTCTATCCAACAAGATTCCGTGAATGAAGCAACATCGGAAACTAAGTGCCACTATCACCGCTGTCGTTTATCAGCATTATATGTTCTGACTCCGGTTAGGTTGTCCCTGTATACTTCTCTCGTAAAGCAACAACTTGCAGTTATTTTTATCCTGCTTGCATCTCTGCAATCAGCTCTAATTAAAGGCCACCCATCACGTCCGTTGTACTGATAATTTGTTGGCGTTAAGAAACCATATGCTATTCGATAAATGCATCAAACTGTTACTTTTTGGCGTTTTTACTCATTACTGCTCTTTTCGTACGTATGCACTACCTGTGTGTCTCACTCAGTCGACGTTTTACGATGGCTCTAATTATCGACTTCCCACGGACGCAATGTTAATGGCCCCATATGTTCGTTCATCTCCAAAATGTGTATCTACGTGACCGAATCAGTCCGATTTGAAAACAATTTGACGTATCTGTTGAAGCCTGTCTTTTTTCCATCACGTTTTTTTCACAAGCTAGATCTTCCAGTCCTTATTAGGTCCCCTGTGCTAGTTTCCCCGTATTAAGTGACTGGCAAGGTTCTACATTCCACATGCAGTCGCAGTAGAGTTGATTGCGTCAACTTCTCGCCATTATATCACATCATTTAGACAGCTCCACGTAAATTTAATTTGTGCCAATTTACTCTGCATTTATCAGAAGTCTTCTATTTTGCTAGCTATTTCACACTTTCCCAGCTCACACGAGTCCTCTGCTTTACACACTATCAGTCTTGATATTTATTCCCCATTAAACAGTCGGGCTAAGAATCAGATTGTCGAACATGTTTCTGGTTTACAACTTGCGTCACCATTCCGTCCGAATTCTATCTTTTTTTAGGCAAGAGCTGATTTTGCCGAGGAGCAGTTGAATCGCAATGATCTGCTTGCCGCATCCGAACTGGCTGCAGCCGACGTCGCCTTTCCCAACAATTGCGCTGCACCTACATCACCTGCCGTTACTTACAAGGCGTCGTCCAATATTATATCATCAACAGAGACTGTCCAAGATATTCCGTCGACCCAGAATCTTACCGGGACCGCCCGCATTTTTGGTGCCTACAATATCGGTGATGATGATAACTATGATGATTGAAACTGCCGTATCCATTATCCTAGCTACCTCGGTTATGCTGCCAACCTTTCATTCACCGATTTCATAGTGGATTAAAGTTCGTACTACTCACTTTTCCCAGCTGCACTCCCCGCACCATTTGTACACTTTTTTGTCGAAACTTCCATCCAACAAACTTGTTTGACTAATCAGAAGGTTGTGTACGTGTGCACCTTTTCAGTATTTCTTAATGTTTGCACATTTTTCTCCTAACGCAGGATGCATCAAGTTAAATTACACTAAGGATGAACATGAGCAATGTAGCTGCCTTGTTTACATCCTAGTTGGAGACTCCTCTTGACCAAGCCGTATGAATAACGGATGGGTTAGCCAACCGCAGAGCAGGCATTGATAAATCAGCCTAGCGCGTGCCCTCTCTTGCCTAGGCTGAATGCGCGCCGTCCATCCTATGGCGTGTGCGGTAGGTCAGCCACGCATGCACGCGTTACTAATTCCGCCACAGCTCATGCGCTGCGTAATATGAGCCGCCACAATGGCTCAGTACGAGACCATCGTACACATCGCTAGGCTGTTGAACGATAGCACGACAATGAAATAGTTGGTGAACCAGTACTTTCGATCGACTCAGGTTGTACTTTACCTGTTCATCCGCACTTGTAGCCGAGTACTCGGGTGTTTTGAACCACTAGGTTCGCTGCGCATCACGCGGTCCACTTTGGGGTCGAGTCTGCGGTCACACCAAAGGGAAGAGTAACAAGTGTGACGCTGTGCGCGCGTGCAGTCGTATGGACGCTTGCGGCCACGTCGATTGGATAGTTGCTTAAATAAATAAATAGTTTATTCTCGAATTTGTCGCGACACATTAAACCAGGCATGATCAATAACTTCAGATAAAACCCCTCGGCTTTCCTTCAGACGCGTCTTGGTGCGGCACGGAATGTGCCGATCGTTTTAAACAAGAGCACATTTTGAAACGATTGTCATCTTGTTTAAAACTACCGCAGGCTTGCGGGTTCGCTGTACGATTGGCTCGGTTGGTCGGTCGCCTATCTGTTGACCACAACGGGTCTACCAACACATTTCTATGGTGTCGAGGGTGATCAGCCAATCGGAGACATAATACGCTATTGGTCATGAAGCCAATCTGGCATAAGCAGGTTTCACTTCCACGCGAGCGAGATGACATCTAAGTGAGTAATCGTTCTCCTGTCTAGGCCTGGGCAACCTGACAGTATCCTGCCCACGCAATACTATGAATTTTCCTTCAAACAATTTCTTGATGCTCTGGCCACCGCAGAGGATAATAAACGGTGCCCTATCTGCTGCATCGAGCAGGGTGGATAGGGGTTTGGATGCTACTGCTCAAGCCTTCCCGTCTTCTTATTCCCCCTCTTACGCTTTTTCACTCTTACCGTCCCATTCCAACTTCACTTATATCCCCCCAGTTTTCAACCCCCGATTCTTGGCCCTCCCCCAACATGCTTTGCTAGGCATTTACCTTCTAATTTCAACTCACACGTGAACGCGGAGCGTCACTCCTCTCCTGTCGACAAGTAAATGTCGAAGAAAGCGGTCCATTCCAGTTCATCGGCTTCCATTTGGAGCCCTCGATCCTCCTTCAGATTAGCATGCCTCAATGTACGCACACTGCTTCAGATCGGTCAACAGGCAGCACTTGCCCGAACATTGGAGACCCTCTCGATCGACATCTGCTGCTTATCGGAGACCCGCCTGCAAGACTCGAGCTCTGTGCTCACTCTGCGATCCCCTTCAGGTGACGCAAGCAGTGTTTTCATATTGCACCTATCCGGTGACGATGCAGCTTCGAGCACCGGCCAAGCCGGTGTTGGTATTGCCCTGAGTCCCCGGGCTGAAGCTGCTCTGGTTGATTGGATTCCAATCAGTAGCCGGATGTGTGCGGTCCGATTGGCTGGCTCGTTTAAAGCTTCGAAGTCGCGCGGGACTAATAGATGTCTATTCATCATCGCTGCCTATGCGCTCACAAACTGTAGCGATGATTCGGTAAAGAACGACTTCTACCGCCAACTGACCCAGCTCCTTCGCCACAGAAGAAGCACGGACACTGTTGTGCTGGCGGGGGATATGAACGCACAAGTTGGAAAGTTGTCCACTGATAAACTGCATCTGGGCGGTCAACACGGTGTAGGCTCCCGTAATGATAACGGTGAGCGGTTACTTCATTTGTGTGAAGATGCTCGCTTATTTCTTGCGAGCACTAATTTCCGACACAGCACCCGCCGAAGGGGGACTTGGCGCCCACCAGCCTCGAACCAGCCTTGGACGCAGATCGATCACATTGCGATAAGTTACCGTTGGAGAGGCTGCATCCAGAATTGTCGCTCGATTTAGAGCACACGTGTGGACACCGATCATGCACTTGTATGTGCTGACATGCGGATACGTTTTGGCGGACGCCCACGACGACGCTGTGAGTGTATTGACACCAGCCAACTGACAAAACCAGCTGTTCTGAATGCGTATCGAAGTACGCTAACATGCGAGTTGAGCAAGCGCTCACAGGAGACAATTGATGGTCACTGGTCACATGTTCGCCAGACCTTACTAGCAGCAGGCAAATCCTCATGTGGTATGTCTAATAGTCAACATGGACATTGGATCTCTTCGCAGTCTTTGGAACTTATAGATGCTCGCCGGCAAATCCCGGCTGGAAGCGAGCACAATGAAACTCGCAAAGAGCTCCGGGCAAAACTCCGTGCTAGCCTGAAGAGAGACCGCGAATCTTGGTGGTCTCATCGTGCATCAGAGATGAAAGTGGCCGCTGCCCTTGGCAACCATCGTAAGTTATTCCGTCTGATACGGTAAACGGGCAGCAGGAGACCTGGTGTTAGTGAAACTATACGTGACGAGAGTGGACAGCCTATCCACAATTTGTCAAAACGTCTGGAGCGTTGGGCTGAGCATTTTGAAAAGCAATTTAATTGGCAAGAATTGTTCGATTCGCCGGTCACTGATCGCCCCGCTCCGTGGGCTGTCCCTTTGGATCCACCCTCTCGCTCAGAAGTCGAACGTGAGATCGGACTGTTGAAGTTGAACAAAGCCATGGGACCAGATGATCTTCCTCCAGCCCTCTTCAAATTTGGAGGCTCTGCTTTTGTTGATGCTTTGCATGAATTACTAGTGAAACTGTGGGAGCAGGAAACTGTCCCAACCGACTGGAACCGCTCCGTTATTGTTCCAATCTTCAAAGGCGGCTCGCGCTCGGAATGCGGCAACCATAGAGGAATCAGTCTGATCTCCATCGCCTCCAAATTACTCGCGCCCATAATTCTCCACAGACTGACTGGCGCTTGTGAAAGCCAGATTCGTGAGGAGCAAGCCGGGTTTCGTCGGGGTCGTGGCTGCATCGACCACATCTTCACCTTGCGTCAGTTGTTGGAGCACCGTCACACATATTGGCGGCCCACTGTTGTCGTGTTCCTCAACATCAAAGGTGCTTTCGATTCGGTTGATCGATGTGCCCTTTGGAATTGTCTACTCAGAAAAAGTGTGCCCGAGAAATATGTAAATATTATCCAAGCATTATATTTGCGTAGCACGGGCAGAGTGAGGGCTTACGGCAAGCTGTCGCCACCCTTCAATATCTCCAGCGGTGTGAGACAAGGATGCCCGCTGTCACCTTTCCTATTCAACTTCGCTATTGACGAAGTCATGGAGATTGCATTTACAGGACATGACTTGGAAGGTGTGGAGCTACTCCCAGGAGAACGACTTCTTGACTTAGAGTATGCAGACGACATTGCCCTCATCTGTGACAGCTCCCAGACGTGTCAATCCGCGCTGGACAGATTAGCACTGGCTGTCAGTCGCTTCGGGCTTTGCTTTGCACCACCGAAGTGCAAAGCGTTCCTCCAGGATTGGCAGGGTTCGCCCCCTGTGCTGACCCTTGGTGGGGATCAGCTAGAAGTCGTTCAGAAATTCAATTACCTGGGAAGTTGTATCAGCGCCCTTGGGATCGAAGACGAGATCACGAACCGCATAGCGAAAGCTCGAAGTGCTTTTGCTAACCTTCGCCACCTATGGCGACGGCGCGACATTACTCTCGCCCTGAAGGGTAGAGTGTACAATGCAGCGGTACGTTCGACCTTACTGTACGGTTGCGAAACCTGGCCCCTAAGATCGGCGGACATGAAGAGGCTACTTACGTTCGACCATCGGTGCCTTCGCAGTTTGGCTCACATCTGGTGGGAACACCGCGTGAGTAACGAGCGTGTTCGACGCCTTGTTTACGGCCTAGGAAAAGGGAATGAACCGCTCAGCACCGTCATTTCACTCACCAGGCTCCGATGGCTGGGCCACGTGTTGCGCATGCCAGCCCACCGACTCCCTCGACGTGCGTTGTTTGCTCACCGGGGATGTGGGTGGAAGAAGAGGAGAGGTGGCCAAGCGATGACTTGGTCCAGAGGAATGAAGGCCCTCACTTCGGAGCTGGCCTCGGTTGGAGCTTCACGGCTCCCTGGTTGGGGTCCAAAAGACGGTGAACACGTTTGGCTGGATACACTTGCTGATATGGCAAGGAGCCGACCTCAGTGGCGTTCCTGCTGTGAGTTTCTTTGTCCCTCCCCATCCCTTTAGCCTCCCCCTCCATCTACGATCTTATTTCGTAGGGTAAAACGTAATTAAATTTTTGTTTTTGCCTAGTAGCCGGCTAGTAGCTTACCGGAACGATGCGTATCTGTTGCTGGTAGCTCAGCTGGCATTCAACTGTCGTATTTATTTTTCCTTTATGTATTGTATGTATGTATTTTCTTTATGTATTGCGGTACAATAGCGGAGGTGTTTTACCATCTCTAGCTGACATGTATAATGATGATGATGATGATGATGAGTAATGATAAGAAGCGCATTGGTTGATTGTGTTGAGGTTGCAACGCTTGCAGGCTGTTGGAAGAGAAGCTTTGAAGGCTTACGGGTGGACTGCACGGTTGCCTTCCTTCCTGGCTTGCCTATCTGGCCACACGTGATACGGTATGCATAGTGTAATCGTGCTACTGCGAGCATTCTGGAGAATCGATAGGTGTGCGATTTCGTTTACGATATACTTGTGATTGTTAAGGCAGTGTGAGGCAATCGGAAACAATGTAATAATTGGTATGAAGGAGGCAAAGCTAGGATTTCTTCGCAAATAGAATTATTAAGGCCTTTACAGCTAAACAGTTCTCGTGCTATTTTTCACTTGGCCGTACACTCATGTGAATAGCGTAGCTACGTACTGCTGATGTAGTTGGCACATTGTATATTAAGGTCAAGTTCGCT